TGCCTTCTTTAAAAAGAGACCAAACTTAAGTCTGTGCTCTAAAGCATTTAAGATTTACGATGGTAAATTTAATGTTCAGGTCTATGCTCAAAAAGTGGTTAAGAGGCAATAAATGATTCATAACTATTCCATTTAATGCTATAAAATCCCCTAAAAATAGAAAATATGAAATAAAAACATTATCAAACTAAAATATAGTACATTAATTTCACTGAAATTTTCATTAAAAAAAAACTAAATAAATAAATTTGGTAATTTTTGACTGCCACACGAGCAGCACCAAAGGGTTTCATAATTTTGCCTGTCAAGTAAATGTATCTTGATTTAAGAATGTTTAAATATTTGTACTAAACAAGAAAAAAAAAATACTGATAATGAAATTTTTTATTTTATTTTTTTTTTTTTTTGCAGTGCAAATATCAAATCATGAGCCTTAGTACTTTTAAATGCTATAAAGTTCATCAATAATTTGAAACTAAAAATTAATAATCTATGCACAAAGTGTCACAGGCACACTGAGATACTTAACATTGAGTAATATTATTGATTTGACGGCACTGCCACTATTGGATGAGAACAAAACTTAAGCTGAATTGAGCTGGATGATGAAACTATTGTCTTCTGTAGAGCTGCTTTAAAGCTGAATCGAATTTGTTTCATAATTGATGAACTCTGCCACACTAACAATGTTATTAAACTGAACTGAATCAACATTGAACTGAGCTGGAGAACAACACTATTGCATTCTGTAGAGCTGCTTATTTTATAATTTTGTAGAGCTACTTTATAGTTGAATTAAGTTTGTTTCATAACTAATGACCATTGCATTGACACTGATGAACTAAATTACTGTAAAGCTGCTTTGAAACGATATGTAATGTATAAAGCGCTGCATAAATAAATATGACTTGACCCTTGCAATCTCTTGGCATCATGGCGATGGATTTGCACGGACAAGTACCACTCACTTTTTCCTTAGAAAATCTTGTTAATATTTCTAATATAAATAACCCCCTTGATTCAGCCGTTTCTGTCACTATTCCAAGTTTTTTTTTTTCCCCACAGTACCCACTTAGCATAGAGAACTGAAACACACAATGAAACAATGAGAGAATGCAGCGCTGCACGTACACACACCTGCTGTCAGACCCGCATACTAACACCCAAACACTCTAAAAATACACTTCATGGCATCCTAGCAACACAACCTGACCTTCAAAAAATACTTTTTTTATATTTAAAACCTGTTGTTTTAAATCTGAGGTAAGATTATAATTGGGTAGTTTGTAAATAACATTTTATTCAGCCATCTTTTTTAGGTGCTGTAACTGGTCACAGTTACTTTTTTTCATTATTTCTAGTCACCTTTTGGTGACACTACCTGTCAAAATTCTGGACACATTTACAGTAAGAAAAATGTTTAAAATTGTTTTAGGTGAAATATAGCACGTCACACTGACAGCCCAAAAGTCCATGCACTGCAAAAAAATGATTTTCATCCTCAGTATTTGTGTCGCTTCCCAGTACAAATATCTAAATATTCTTAAATCAAGATTTACTTGGAAGCAAAAAGCCTTAAGATATACTTAAGATGTTAAGAAATTTTTGATCAAAATGATGTCACTTTATGCTTAAATCAAGAATATCTGCAAATGTGGTCAGAAAACATGAACTTATTTTTCTGACCTCACTGGCAGATTTTTTTTTTATTCTTGTTCTAAGCAAAAAGTCACTTAATTTTGACCCATTTTTCAGAAAACAAGACAGTTCTTATGTCATTTTGCCTCTCAAGTACTTGTATCTTAACCTTCTGTTGCTGCTCGCATGGCAGTCAGAAACGACTTAAACTTTTTTCTTTTTTTGTTTGTCAATGAAATGAATGTACTAGGTTTTATATTTATGGAATAATCCATTTATTACTTGTTTACCACTTTTTGAGCACAGACCTGAAAATAACATTTCCAGCTTAAACTGTCGTAAATCTTAAAGGGGTCATATGATGTTGCTAAAAAGAACATTATTTTGTGTATTTGGTGTAAAGCAGAGTTTTTTACGCGGTTTAAGATTCAAAAAACACATTATTTTCCACATACTGTACATTATTGTTGCTCCTCTATGCCCCGCATTTCTGAAACTCGTCGATTTTTACAAAGCTCATTGGTCTGAAAAGCGAGCTGTGCTCTGATTGGCCAGCTATCCAGTGCGTTGTGATTGGCCGAATTCCTCAAGCGTGTGACGGAAATGTTATGCCCCTTACCAGGTTCAGGAAACTTTCCTCCGTAAAATGCGCTGCACTCACTTGGATATTTGGGATGTACTGTTCTGGAACAGTGTTGTAAATACAACTTAACCACTGATTTCTAGTTGTGTCGTCTTTTGGAAGGCCAAACAAAGTAGCTTTTGCAACGAAACACACAGCGTCTCCACGACATGGTGGCGGCGGTGCAACAATACTACAGCGAGAATAAAAGTTACGCCTTCTTTCTTTGCGTATACATTTGGGCTGTGTTATGCAAATCTTCCCACACAGTGACGTAGATATGTGTGAGCGTGTTTAAACGAGGCGTTTTAGGAGGGCGTGGCTGAGCGTTCACTTTTATAAAGAATATCTCTTTGGGTTTGAGACTTTAATCTTTGTGACTTTACGGATCCTCTGTATGCACGAACAGCTTGTAACACTCCAAAGACAAAGGAAAACATGAAATCGCATCATATGACCCCTTTAAATGCTTTGGAGCACAGACTTAAGTTTGGTCTCTTTTAAAGACGACACTTGGCACATTATAAGTGAAAAAAAGTGAAACTAAAAAAAGTTATAGAAATGTATTTTTATTATGACAAAATGCACAAACATTATTTTAAAATTTGATATGAAACATATTTGACTCTAAAATCAAAGCCATAAATCTAAACAAGTTATGTCAAATTTTAAGGATTTGTTTTGGGTGCAGTACCAGACGTTTCCACTAGATGAAATTCACTTCCTGTTTACACTGATGAGCCATTAAATTATGACCACCTATCTAATAACCTGTAGGACTTACTTTAGCCCAGCAGCCATGCGGCGAGGCATTGATTCGACAAGGTGCCGATAGGTCTCCTGGGGTATCTTCGTACCATAATGACAACAGCAGGTCCTCCAGTTCCCGTACAATGCAGGGTGGTGGTGATGTAGCACAAAACCACTTCTCGTTTGGGTTCATGTCAGGTGAATTTAGAGGCCAAGGCATTAAGAGAAATTCACCATCATGTTCCTCAAACCACTCCTTGATGATTCTGGCAGTGTGGCAAGGTGCATTATCCTGTTGGTAATGGCCATCACCGACAAGGAACACAGTTGCCATGAATGGGTGCACTTGGTCCGCAACGTTGTTCAGATACCAGCTGTCAGGGATTGTGCTATTGGGATAATCGGCGTATCTGTGTTAGGCCGTCGACATGATGCACCAGGAATCTTGATTCTTCAGACCAGGCCACTTTCTTCCAATGATCCACGGTCCAATCTCGATGATCTTGGGCCCATTTCATGCATTGTTGGCGATGACATGCAGTTAGCATGGGGACCCGGCTGGGTGGTTGGCTATGCAGGCCCATACACAAAAGACACGATGAACTGTTTGCTGTGACACATTATCCTGGTCACCACTGTTGTAGCTGATGGTGATTTGTTGCACTGTGAATAATGCGTGACAGTCTCCGCTCCCCTCTGGCATCAGGGAGCTGCGGAACGACACACGGCTGGATGACGGTTCATCGTTTGTCCATCCGTGCACCACTTTTGAAACATACTCACTATAGCACCATGTGAACAACCCACAAGGTGTGCCATTTCCAACATCAAAGTTTCAAGACGCCATGCCATCACAGTTGGTCCTTTATCAAACGCTGATAAATCAGCAGCTTTTCCCATTCTGACACCGAACACTCTACTGACTGAAATCCAGTCCTCGGGTGGTATATGTACCGCTCAGTGAGCTGCTACTGCGGCACCATTCAGTTGTGATGCGTGCTCATTGCTCTAGGCTTGGGGTAGTCATAATGTAGTGACTCATCGGTGTATTTCCAATGCAGTAATTTTTGACCGCGAACAGCACAAGTGTGACTATTGTTTTTTCAGGACCATTTAACCTTTTTGAATCAAGTACATGATTTATTTTATTTTGTGTGTGTGCGTGTGTGTGTTTACATAGCAAGTGCCAAAACCTTTACCAAGTTTTGTCCCATTCCGATGAAAAAAAAAAAAAAAAAAAACTAAATATTTTTTAGCCAAAAATGACCAAATAGCACCAGAGGGTTAAGAATGTTTAGATATTTGTACTGGAAAACAAGACAAAAATACTGAGGAAGAACATAATTTTTTGCAGTCTGCTGGTTGTGTTCTTTTGCCTTCAGTTGCCTTTGGAAAATAAATGAAATCTGACTTTTTACACTAAATCCAGGCAGTGTTGAGTCTCATGGGAATTAGAGGAAGCGTGTTGGGATATTCATTGTTGTCTCTGGAGTCTATAAAGTCCTTCAGTGTTATTCTCCTGCTGAGGCGTTGAATGATACCCCCCCCCCACACACACACACACAAAAAACAAAAACACAAAACTAATATTAATTTAAAAAATGGTGTGCAGCTGAGGTGTCCAGGGAACTTCTGCAGTAATGAGTGAGGTGGCAGTCAACAGAATCCAGAGACTGACCCGTAATGGTCTTAAATTACGACACATTCCGTAATACGGCAGACGGGGGAGCGTTTAAGGCTAAATCATTTCCATATGTTCTGAGGAAATAAGGATGAGGGGTTTAAATACTTCAGCTCTAGCCAGGTAATGTGTGTTAATGAACACCAGAGGGTTTATTAAGACCTAATTGGGGATTCCACTGAAATGACTGACGTCAGATGGAATGATTGGCGACACATGGTACTGTCGTGGCTACCGGTTTTCCACACTACAGCGGGAATTCAATAATTATCATATGAATAAAAGTGCTTGTGTTTCCTGTTTTTGCAGATATAGATGAGTGTTCTTTCGACCGGGCGTGTGACCACACATGTGTGAACTCACCTGGAAGTTTCCAGTGCTACTGCCACAAAGGTTACGTCCTCTACGGTGTGGCTCACTGTGGAGGTAAGCCATGGATTATAGGAGTTTTGTCAGCAAAGTTTCTGAGTTACAAGAACAATGTCCATTTCCTCTGCAGTAAAGAAACATCTAACAGAAAACTCATGTAGGCAGACCCACTAGCTCTACTTGGTAGGACCTTGGGCAAACACATCCAATGAAAACTGAGACTTTCCTATATAAATGCTCTCCAGTTTCCTCTGGCAGCAATCAGGACCCTAAACAAATCTGTAAAGATTATTCTGAGGTTTGTATCCACTTTACTTTGCAACCAAGCTATTTTCTTTGAATGTGCGAGACTTCCGATTCATTAGCCGCTATAGAAGCACAGTAAACGGTAAAACTGTTTACGCTACAAACCGGTGTGTTTGATAATAGTTTGCAATATAAAATTACTAGAAGTGAATGACGGTGGAAGCCTTGCACATTAATGGCCATACGCTCTTACGTTAAGCACTTAACTAGTTAAAAAGCAAGTAGCCTCGATGTTTCAGGTATATATGTGAAATAATGGGTACTTATTACTTTTGGATGTTCAGGAAGAAGATCTTATGAAAGTCTTGTAATATTATAATCAGTTTCAGATAAACCCAGTACTAAATTGGGTGGATTTCTTAACATGGTTATCATGTCAGATGGTTTCTTCCTGTCTAAGTGGGCGGCTCTCAGCCAAAATAAGCTGCATCAGTGAACCTTGTTTCAGGGCTGATTGAGCAGATGAGGAGTCATTTAGTGATGTATGTGTCTTACTATTGTTGAGAGTACCAGAAATAATGAATGTATCTCTTTGTCCGTTAGCACTTAGATAACACCCAGATTTATGGAGTTCTCTCTTTTGTTTCCAAAGAATGGTCATCAGTTTCCCATTGATGGCTTATCTGCCAGGAAATAGAAATATACTCAGAGCAATGTTCTTTTTCGTTCTTTGCTTAGGGATAAAAAGAAGTTTGAAATACCTTTGCATCGGTATACTGTTATCCCTAGTACTGAGCCTTGAGGTACTCCATACTGCACTTGTGATCGATATGATACCTTCTACTATAAAGCAGCTCTCCAGTGTGTTCATGTGTTTACTTGCGTCTGACCTCGACGGACTAAACAGAAGAAATGAACCGGAGAAGATTTCCAGAGCACAACATCATCGGCATGGACCAATAGTAGTTTGATGGTGTTTACCATCCGACGAACTGCTTTGAACTCCTGAAACAAACTTTTTTTTTTTTGCCTTGATTTTGTTTGAAATGATGCCACACCCGTTCATTCTTCAATTTCGCTTAAAGTATATCAGGGCCTTAAAGGGGTCATATGATGCAACGAGCCGTTTTAGGTAGGCGTGGCTGACTCTTAACTTTTATAAAGAATATCTCTTTGGATTTGAGACTTTAGTCTTTGCAACTTTACAGATCTTCTTTATGCACCAAGAGCTTGTAACACTCCAAAGAGAAAGGAAAAATTGAAATCGCATCATATGACCCCTTTAAAGCTGCAATAGGCCTTGGGTCAGAATTGATTATTGCAAAGTTTACAGTCAAAGAACATGTAAACTCTTTGGTTTTGGTCTTTCTCCATTCAAGTAGATTGGAGCTAGACTTGCACGACTTGAAAACAGCTGCCTGAGGGTGTCATCAAGTGGACTGACTTGACATAAAAGGGACTTTGACCGAGACTGTAGCTACAAGAGGTTAACAGAAGTGCCAATCTAACATTGGTTTTCTCTTCCCCCGTCCCCTTCCTCGCTCTTTAGATTAATGAAGGCTCGGGATCCAGACAGGGAAAGGAAATGTGATTTAGCCTGGAGCCGGTTCAAATCTGATGGGGAACAAAAGAATGACAAAGAGAAGGAAAACCACACTTGCCTAGCAAGCGAGCTCTGTATTCCTTAAAGAAACATAAAAAAATTCCTGCTCGCCCACTTTTTTAGAAAATGAATTTGTTGAATTTGTTGACTCTGTCTCTGTTTCGAATTCACTCAAACTATATCTGTTTTGTCTATTGTTTGGCTTTGTTTTGTTCCAGTGTTGGAGAGTAACTAGTTAAAAGTATTGATGTTAACCTGTGTAATTACATTCATGTTAGATTCACTTGTCACAACATAAATGGAAGGTTGAGTCGAGTGAATTGCATTGTTGGATAAAGTGTGGGTTGCTGTGTTTATAGGTTATCCAAGTATTCTATGCATACAGTACATTTTCATTAGTTGAATGCCTGCATTTTCTCTATATTGCCTTTTAGAACAAAGATAAATTATTTGTAATTGTCTGTTTTGTTTTATAGATATTGATGAGTGCAGCATTAATCGGGGTGGCTGTAAATTCGGATGTGTGAACACTCCGGGCAGTTACGAGTGTACCTGCCCTCCTGGTTACAAACTGCACTGGAACAGGAAGGATTGCATTGGTATGTGGACAAGAGTGCCACCTAGAGACCATTCAGATGCAACTAAAATCTTATGGTTCAAATGCAAATGCCAAAGACTGCTATTAGTTCTGTATTTTATAAATGAAAGATATGTATTAGTTGATTGTCTTTGAGATCCAATGTGATCTACACACTTTTGATGCATATTAACAAAAAACTAATTCAGTGTACTTGCTTGGAGTCAAACTTATTATTTCTGCACAGAGATTGTGAAGTGTACGTCCAGTCTGGCGGCCCCCAAAGCCACCCTTACTTGCAGTAAAATGGGGAAGAAAGAGAGCTGCTCTCTCACTTGTGCATCTAAAGCACATTACCTATCAGGTAGAAACCAAATACCTCCTAAAATACTTAATTTAACAAACTTGTCCATTCAGCTCTGTGATCAATTTTCATTTTACGTTTCACAGAATCAGACAACAGCTATTCTGTTAGCTGTGGAATGCCCATCCTACGAGGTAAATCTCACAGCAGATTAAACGCAAGCAGCATCCAAAGCTGCATAGGTAAGATCATACATACGTCCCAACACCTTCCTTATCTCATAGGCAATTGAATCGTGCCAACTAATGGTGTGCACGTTCCACAAATAGGGTACAATTTGATGTCTAATTGTATTTATTATTTTACCGTTATACGTAGGTACCCATACAGGTAATCGCATTAAAGTAATCCCATTTTTAGTTGTGAGATATGTTACAGAAACCATTAAGCGTAATGTATTAATAACTATAAGCCAACAGTTGGCCCTAAACTAGCTAGCTCCTGCTGATTGTCGGCTTAATTTAGACTCAACTTGCAACCCTGTTACCCATTTTGGCATAGTGTTTTTTAATGTTTATTTAATACTTATCATAATTTATCAATGTTTTGTCATCACAGATGCCACATATAAACTAATAGAAAATAAAAAGGATCATATATCATTTAATTTGATCTCCTGTGGTTAACGATAAACAGTTTCTTAATGCTAAGCCCTTCAATTTCACTGATCATTTGTTGAAAAAGAAAATAAGACTTACGTTTCTAAATTGCAGGTCCTATTTTTTGAAAGTGCCAGCAAACAGAACCTGGAAACCGATGAGACGTTTCTTTTGTACAGCTGCAGTCGATGATTCCGAGAAACATAATGACAGATACATTGCAGCTGTCCAATTACATGATCACTTGATGTGCTTGGCAAATTAGAAACGTATTTACCATGCCTGATGTTTGTTTTGATGTCAGACTCGTTTCACATTGGGATGCCTGTCACGGCAAACTATAATCTCAAATTGCTGTTCCTCATAAGTGTTCAGAGTGAGCATAAAGCTAACATGAATCTGCTTTAAATGTTCACAAACAGCCCAGCTGGTTTTATTTTTCAATCAAGCACGTTAAATGTAGCCAGCCAGCCAGCAGCTGTGAATTAATGTAGTTAGCTAGTAGTTGTCAGCAAGGGCTTTATATGAATCATGTTGAGCTGCATGTCAAGGCCTCTTTGTTTGGTTGTAGAGACTCAGGCTCCTCCAGTGAAGCAGACGGTGTCCTTCCGGATCAAGAATGCCAAATGCCACCTGCACCCAAAGCATAAAGGGAGGGCAGAGGACAACGGCAGACAGATCGGGCCAGGTCAGAGGTCATAGGGGCCAGGAAATGAAGGGTACCATGTCATTTTGATGGTCCCTGTTGTGGAATAAGGTCGTAGTACTGTCTGTCGAGGGAGCTGCGTTCTCGTTTTGCTACATAAACAGTGATAATTGGGATTATAAGGGATAGTTCACCCAAAAATGAAAATTATGTTATCATTTACTACTCACACTTGTGTCATCCCAAACCCATTCGACTTTAGTTAATATTCAAAGTATTCCTAACATTTTTAATGAAACCTTGGAGGTTTCGTTACAGGTAACCAAAACTTACAATATCCAGTAAAGTTGTAAAGGCATCGCAAAATGAATCCATATGAATCAAGCGGTTTAATCCAAGTCTTTGTACGATCACTTTATATGATGAACAGACTGACCTTAAGCTTTTATTTACATCTAAACAATGATCGACACACATGCATACACATATGGTTAGCACATGTGTTTACCATATGTGATTTGCTCTATGTATGCGTGTTTATATGTGAATAAAGGCCTAAATGAAACCTGTTATCAGATAGAGAGATCGTATTGTAACCAAAGGCTTATATAACGTGATCGTAAACAAAGTCTGGGTTTGGAACAACATGAGAGTGAGTAAATTATGTCAGTTTTCATTTTTGGGTCCCTTCAAAAACTCCATTATTATAAATTTCATGCTATATATTTGAAACAGTTAAAGGGATAGTTCACCCAAAAATGAAAGTTACCCCATGATTTACTCACCCTCAAGCCATCCTAGGTGTATATGACATTCTTCTTTCAGACAAATACAATCGGAGTTATATTAAATAATGTCCAGGCTAATCCATGCTTTATAATGGGAGTGGATGGTAGCCCAAAATTCGAAGTCCAAAAAATTTCACCCATCCATTATAAAAGAAGTCCACACGGCTCCGGGGTGTTAATAAAGCCCTTCTGAAGCGACGCGATGTGTTTGTGTAAGAAAAATATCCATATTTACAACTTTATAAACCTTAATCTCTAGCTTCCGCTAACTGTCGTACGCTCGTTCACAAGAGAGTGGTGTCCAGCGGATGACGTAGGAAGTAGGCAAACGCGGTGTCGAACACGGAAGTGACGAACGTGGAAGCGCAGAGGAGAGAGCAAAACAAAACACCGGTCACGAATTAGTAGTGCAAAACGAGGATTTGTAAAGAAAAATGTCGGAGGATTTCGATATAAGCCAAGAGGACACCTTTGCTGTAAACAAAACTTGTTTCTCGCGAGACTAGCGTATTCTCACCGGAGCTTATTCTACGCCTACTTCCTACGTCATCCGCTGGACGCCACTCTCTCATGAACGAGCGTACGACAGTTAGCGGAAGTTAGAGATTAAGGTTTATAAAGTTGTAAATATGGATATTTTTCTTACACAAACGCATCGCGTCTATTCAGAAGGCCTTTTATAAGACTTCTTTTATAATGGATGGGTGCAAGTTTTTGGACTTCAAATTTTGGGCTACCATCCACTCCCATTATAAAGCATGGATTAGCCTGGACATTATTTAATATAACTCCGATTGTATTCGTCTGAAAGAAGAATGTCATATACACCTAGGATGGCTTGAGGGTGAGTAAATCATGGGGTAATTTTCATTTTTGGGTGAACTATCCCTTTAAGGAGTTGACAATCCAATAATGTCACTCCAAAAAATGTGCTACTGCATCACCTAAATGCCCTTGTTGTGTGAATAATGACTTGATTTCCAGGTGGCCAACCGTGCAACAACTGCCTGGTCACGTTCGTTAACCTGAAGTGCGACTCGTCTAAGAAGGCCAAAGGTCGTCGGGCACGTAACCCATCAAGCAAAGAGGTCACGCGCATCACTCTGGAGCTGGAGGCTGAGGTCAAGCCAGGAGATGCCACTGGTGAGTCTGACATCCTCCTCCTAAAATAAACCCTCTACCTACCTACAGAAACTGCAGGATGAGCGTGGAAATGCGGCGCATTAAGGTCATGACGTTCATCTTGTTCTCCTGTAGGGAACTGTAACATGATGTGTCAAAGACAGCGTATGGAGCAGCAGATGAAGTCATACATTAAAGCCCTGAAAAAATCCATAAACCAGGAGCGTTTCCTCATCCGTGTGGCTGGATTGGAGTACGAGGTGGCACAGAAGCTCCCACAAGCTGCACTGAGGCAGGAGAACTGTGGACCGGGCCGAGAAAAAGACAGCGGCCGCTGTGGTAAGAACAGAAGAGTGAGTGGGGCCTGTTATATATGAACCCCCTTCTCCACTGCAACTTGATGCAAGAGAGCTAGAGCTAGAAACTCAAGATGGTCTGAGACAGTCACAAAACAAGTTGAGACTATAAATTAGCGACTCATGAATAAAAGTCTTTGACTTGGTCTCTGATTGCCTAAAAAAATTTTTTTTATGCAGAAGTGCTGCAAAATGTGTAAAATGAACAGAAGTTATGCCATTGCTATTTTTTGATAGTGACAATTAACCGAGATCGCTTGCAAACTTTTATAAAAAGGAATTGGAAAATACTGACAGCAAATGCAATGGAAACAAAACTAACTAAAGCACAATTCACAATTTTTCAAGTCTTGGGTTACGAATGATAGCATTTTACATTGATCACTTGAAACTACAAGGTCTTTAAAATCAAATTTCAAAGTCAAAAGGCATCTGTCAAAAAATAAAAGGAGCTCAGAATTTCAGCTTCCTCACTGCTGCCCCCTGCTGGCTGCTCTCTCTTAGTCAGATGTTTGCCTGGGTCATACTACCACGGTGAGCAGGAACGCTGTGTCCAGTGTCCGCCTGGAACATTCCAGGAACGTGAAGGTCAGCTGGCCTGTGATCTTTGTCCTGGAGGAGACCGCCATGGCCCACAAGGGGCCCGCAACATCACGTCATGTGCAGGTAACTAGATTAAATCGATGTGCCTTCTACTTGTAATGGATGTAAATGTGTCCTGCACTAGGCACTTATTAATTTGTCTTTTAAGAGTACATTTTTAACCATTCCTGGTCATTTTTGTCTGTTTATAGGTCAATGTCCGCCAGGTTATTTCTCCAGTGACGGGTTCAAGCCCTGTCAGCCGTGCCCTCTGGGAACGTACCAACCCGACCCAGGACGAACTCTCTGTTTCCCCTGTGGAGGTGGGCTCGGTACCAAAAGAGAGGGTGCCAGCTCCTTTAATGACTGTGAGGTCAAAGGTCAGACATTTTGAGCACTACAGTGCAGTGCATTTACATAAAGCTAGACAGTGGGCATAAAATGATGTTTGGAGCAAAACATGGTGCACAATTTGTATGTTGTTTCAGAAATACTATTATAACCTGTTTAAATGTGAACAAGGGATTTACAACATTAAAGAAATCCTTAATTCATGACATGTACATGAAAAATCTAAAAGATTAGACACAACTATGGGACACGGTCGTGCAGCAGCGAGCAACAGTGAAAGGAACCTCAAGGTTGTAAATGTGTGAAATTGTATAGGGCCCCATTCCTGTATTTTGCCTGGGGCCCCCAAATCACTAAATCCGCCCCTGTGTTGTTTACACCAGTGTAATTTCAGCATCATTGAGATACTATTATAGTTTTTATTAATATTTCAAATGAGTTTTTATTTGACTTTTAATTTTAGTTAATTTTGTTTTGTCATTTTTATTAGTTTTTTTATATTTCTATGTATTTTGTTTATTTTTATTTCCATTTAATTATTTTAGTTTATCAAGTTAAATTAAATGCAAATGAGAAATGTTGCCTTGGCAACTAGCTGAAATAAAGTTTAAGTTTTTGTACTTTATTTTAATTCAGTTAATGTTTATCAAGTAATTGAAGTTTTTTTTATGGTTTTAGTTTACTATAATGCGTTTGTGTGTAGACATCAGTAATGGATGTTTGACTCACAAAACTGTTTAAATCATGAGTACTTTCCTCAAGTGTAATATGGTTCAAATATTCAACAAAGGATTGATTAGACCACCTGAACTGGACAAATGAAGCCTTTCATTTACTAAAATTAGATTCATGTGGGGTCCGTGTGAAGGAAACTTCATGCTAAATCAGCCCATGTGATACTGGTGTCCTTGTGTGTGTAGTGTTGTGTTCTCCAGGTCATTATTATAACACCTCAGTCCATCGCTGCATCCGCTGTCCTCATGGAACCTACCAGGCTGAGTTCAGACAAAACTACTGCATCTCCTGTCCAGGAAACACCACCACAGACTTCGACGGGGCCATCAGTGTGTCTCAATGCAAGAGTGAGTCTGTTCATCCTCAAACACAAGTGTGGACTTCTTATGAGTCCCTTACGCTGATAAGAGTCTGTTGTTGATTGGAAATCTGGAAGTAAAAGCAACATCAGGTCAACAAATTGCATCAACATATTCTGTTACACCAAATACACAAAATAATGATCTTTAAAAAAGCATCATATGACCCCTTTAAATTCTGTGTTTTCTGAAGGTTAAACCTGTATTTTGGCACTGGGAATAAAAAGCATTTTACGGACAAAAATCCAGGTCTAGAAATGTTCTCAGTGAGGAATTTACCATGATGTTATCTTCTTGTTTGTTTGTGGGTGCGTTCAGATCGGGAATGTGGGGGTGAAATAGGCGAGTTCATCGGATACATCGAGTCTCCCAACTATCCAGGAAACTACCCAGCCAACGTAGAGTGTATCTGGACGATCAACCCTCCACACAAACGCAAGATTCTGATCGTTGTTCCAGAGATCTTCCTCCCATCTGAGGATGAGTGCGGAGATGTCCTAGTAATGAGGAAGAACGGTACATTTTTGTGCTCTTCCAGGTTTATCCTTTATATCAAGTGTCAAAAATGATTTCACACTTTCAGTACAACAAACTTAATGTTAACATGCATATAGATTTGATATTAGTGTAACAAAATATTGACTTACCAGGGTGTCTGCAGTCTCTTCATTTTAGTGGTGATGGTTTGCTTCTAAAAATAGTTTAGCTTTGATTTGAACACTAACATTTTGTTTTCTTAGGATCAGTGACCTCTATCACCACCTATGAAACATGTCAGACGTATGAGAGACCGATCGCTTTTACCTCCCGATCGCGCCGCCTCTGGATCAACTTCAAATCCAATGATGTAAACAGTGCTCGCGGATTCCAGATTCCATACGTCACTTACGATGGTACAGTCTCCAGATCAGCCCTAGGCTGTACACATTTAGTTCTGTATATATAAAAAGAAAAATAATGCTAAAAATTCTCAGGAGAAAGATGTATATTGATGTTTGATAAGATATTTAATGGGTTTCTATTCATTCTTGACTTTCATTGGCACTAAAATGTCTTTGATTTTCTTTTATTTAGAAGACTATGAGCAGCTGGTTGAAGACATTGTAAGAGATGGAAGACTTTATGCCTCTGAAAACCATCAAGAAATACTCAAGGTTAGTTTTGCATTGCAAAAAAAAATTTACTTGTTATTTTTATCTTGTTTTCCAATATAAATATCTCAACATTCTTAAGATACATTAACTTGAGAAGTAAATTGACTTAAGATATAAGTCTTGTTTTCTGTATCAAAAGCAAGTTTTTTGCTTAAAACAAGAAAAGGTATCGGCCAATGAGTAAGAAAAATAAACAAGTTTCCCCCTTGAAATAAGTTTATTTTAAGTCTCCACTGGCACATGTATTTCTTGTTTTAAGCTCACTTAATTTCTATATATTTTTCAGTAAACAAGACTTACTATCTCAAGACTTTTTGCTTTTCAAGTTAAAGTACCTTCTATTAAAGGGATAGTTCACCCAAAAATGAAAATTCTGTCATTAATTACTCACCCTCATGTCGTTCCAAACCCGTAAGACCTTCGTTCATCTTCGGAACACAAATTAAGATATTTTTGATGAAATGTGAGAGCTCTCTGACCCTCCCATAGACAGCAACGCAACTGAAATATTCCCAGGTCCAGAAACGTAGTTAGGACATCGGTAAAACAGTCCATGTGACATCAGTGGCTCAACTTCAATTTTGCGAAGCTACGAGAATACTTTTTGTGCACAAAGAAAACAAAAATTAAATTGTTTTCAACAATTCTTCTCCCCCGCGTTACGTCTTCCGCCATTTTAGAGAGTATCACAACACATACGCACGCTTTTCCCCAAGCGTAAACAACGCTGATTACGCAGATTACGTTCAAGCGCAGGCTTTCTCCCCCGAATGTAAACAATGCTGATTACGTCGATTACACTCTTGGGTACTCTCCAAAATGGCAGAAGACGTAACTCGGGGGAGAAGAATTGTTAAATAAATTGTTATTTTTATCTTCTTTGCGCTCAAAAAGTATTCTCTTAGCTTCGCAAAACTGAAGTTGAGCCACTGATGTCACATGGACTGTTTTACCGATGTCCTTAATACGTTTCTGGACTTGGGAATATTTCAGTTGCATTGCTGTCTATGCAGGGTCTGAGAGCTCTCACATTTCATCAAAAATATCTTAATTTGTGTTCCGAAGATGAACGAAGGTCTTACGGGTTTGGAACGACAAGAAGGTGAGTAATTAATGACAGAATTTTCATTTTTGGGTGAACTAACCCTTTAAGAATTTTATACTGGAAAACAAGAAAAAATACTGAGGAAGAAAATTTTTCTTTTGCAGTGTAGTGAAGTCTAACAGCAATGAACGTTTTAAAAATATTTTATGCGTTTTCCAAGACACAAGAGTCTTTTACTACATCTCTTTATCCAAAACCCGAAATTTGTGATTTTTGCCTAAACTGTGTTCACGGTATAGAAAGATTAACCATACATGATGACAATTTATTCCAGGTCTCATTCCATTTCTCTCCTTTTTGATTCTCACCAGGACAAAAAACTGATTAAAACCCTGTTTGATGTGCTGGCTCACCCAAACAATTACTACAAGTACTCAACTCGGGACTCCACAGAGATGCTCCCACGTTCATTCATACGCCTCATCCACAGCAAAGTCTCCGCCTTCCTGCGTCCGTACAAATAGTCCAAAAGCGCTGTCCACCTCCACACATCTCCAGTCACCTGGCCTCGAATCAACGGGATCCTACACACATTTAAAGGAAATACACACACTCACACATACACATTTTCAATGGCACACACACACAATCACACTATGCAGATGTTTCACTTTACCTTTTTCTTTTCTTTTTCTTGTCAGTCATCTCCGAGAGGAAAAAAAGCTTCTGTGTAGTCTACATGTAATGCAGTCGTATCAAGCCAAACTGAAGTGTTTCCTTTCTCTACGTGTTGGTCACCATTCTGTACTGTGTTGATGTTTTTTTTGTTCGTACGTTTGCACGCTCAGTCCTGAGGTGTCCTGAAGAGGACGACGATGGTTTGGGTGGTTCCCATGCCCCCCGTTAAGAGCGACGTGTGAGTTTAAACACGCCTGATTGTGTTGTACAGACAAAAGAAAGTTGTAGCATGTCAAAGAAAAGAAAATCTATTTGTCGAACTGGAGCTAGCTGTGATCGTGCTTTAAAAAATAGTATTTTTTTCCCCAATTTCCAGCTCTTGTAAACTCGTAGTTCTCAAAATAAATGTACAATCTTTTGTATATCTGTACTTTTAGTGTGCTCTTGGTAAGATCTAATTCATATCAAGCATTTCACAATGTTAAAGCATTTTATTTGAGCTCCTAGAGCATACATGTAATCTATAAATCATGCTGTTAATACAGTAACGTTTTATTAAGGTCTGCCTGTTCGGATTGTATTATTGTCAACCGCATATTCGTCTATTTCCTAATATTCAAATTAATTTAACAAGGCATAAGAGATATGTGGGTTATTGGAAAGGCTCGGGTGATGAAAAGGTCGGATGGTATTGTAAAAACAGTGGACTGTTAACACTCAGTTCTGTGAGAGTTTTTTGCAGAACATGCAATTGCTGCTGCTTCTTCAGAAACGTCACTTTAAGCCTTTGGTTTTACCTAATGCGATTCACAAAATTTCCTATAGAGAAGAGCAGTCAAGAGGACGAAATCATTCACAGGTTGGAAGTAATGTTTTCATAATGCAGACACGAATCACTGATAAACGTAAACCACAGGTTGACGTGGATGGACTTGAGCAAAAAATGGCATCACTCCAGATTTCAGGATGAAACGACGTTGAAGTGAACGATGAAGTGTTTCGAATTTGTTTTGCACATTACATAAGGACCAAAAGCGAAGCAGCATTTGGGTTGCAGGTGTAGGGTTTCAACGGACCGTGGTGAGAAGTGCCTGAAGTGCAAAAGTGTCAGGATAAACCTGTGGATGTTGACATTTATGAGTGTTTCCTGTATTAATTATGAACCCGTTAGTATTCCTCACAAATGTGTTTATAGGTAAAGCCCTTTACATGAAGTGAAAAAAGAACGAATCTTTGAGAAGGTTAAACCATACCCAGTTTTGATATGTAAACAGAAAAGGACTGGTCAAAATGGTAGTTTACTTTTCTCTTTTTTTGTATATTGTAAATATGAAATAAACGTAGACTGATTGGAGTCTGAGAGATAAATCCAAACAACTCCCGACCTTGTATTTAGAAACTTACCATTGCGCTATCCTCCAGTCCAAAGGTTGACACAAAAGAGGGTGCGTTCAATCTTTAAACATTAATGCCAGATTCATACTCTACGCAAGTATGCAAACGCTTGGCCAGTGTGTTGCAAGCACATGGTCCCGTTGTATATAAACATGCATTCTTGAGTTGCTGTGGTGGTAACAGTCTTCGGGACTTAAGGGGGCTATAGTTACTTTGCCATGTTTGTATTAAAAAAACAAAAAGCTATTTTGTGGCCAGCGGTTTAGACATTAATGGCTGTGTGTTGAGTTATTTTGAGGGGACAGCAAATTTACACTGTTATACAAGCTGTACACTCACTACTTTACATTGTAGCAAAGTGTCATTTCTTCAGTGTTGTCACATGAAAAGATATAATAAAATATTTACAAAAATGTGAGGTATGTACTCACTTCTGTGAAATACTGTATATATACACATCGACTTTAACTTGCTCAACGAGATTCTCTTTGCCATCTCAGCAGCTCACCTAAAAGACCATTTTTACCTTAAAAGAAGATAGTTTACGCTAATGCAATTCTCAGAATGCAACATACAGTGCATGCACGTTTCAGAAAACAGTGATTCATTAAATCAAGCTTGCGTGGCTAAAAATGTTTTCATTTACGTAGAATGTTTTGGGACTATTTCTGTGCTGGGGAAAAAAATTTGTGGTATTGACTTCACTGGCTCCACATGGGGTCAAATGCATTTAACCGCAACCTTTGACCCAAACTTCTTTTATTTAAAGTTTATCGGTCTACAGACACACATGGTTGTCCCACCCCTTTTTTTTATGTAATGGACAGAAAATTTATCCCTGAAGACTATATCATAAAATCCAGAACTAAAGAGAATGGAATGTGTGAGATGTTTGAAAGGGTTACTTTATGAAGCAGTCATTGAAATTTTAGCTATTTTGTACATTTGTCATCTATCACAAGGGTCACTAATATAATTGTTTAAATGTATAAATATGATAGTATAGAAAAAACAGCTTGGGTTAACCCAAGAAGAAGTGAAATGTCCATATTGCCCCACTCAAGAAACCAAACTCAAGTTCGTCACCATCTACTACTAAACATGTAACGTCCTGTGTTGCAGCACTGCAGGTTGGATATCTCCATTAAAAAAGGGATGGGTCATATGTGAAATAGCCACGATTGCCATGAAATGAAAAGTTTGTGGCAAAGTAGTCAATGTTTTGTTGAATGTTCACTAAAAGAAATGCAGAGTATTAGCTACTCTAACTAGTCAATGTCATTGGCAGTCTGTGATTGCTGCTTTATTTTTATAATTCCCCCTTTGTCTTTGCTCTACCAAACCCATTTCAAAGTTAAATGTTTTGATCAATCCATGTTGCTCTTTTATTTTATTTTAGTCTGTTTTTTTTTTTTTTTGGTCTTTTCCCCATTTTTCTTTTTCAAAATGTCTTTTTTTTTTTAAGAGAAAAATGACTTTGCCACAATGTTTCATGGCATGGGGAATGGTATTTGCACTTGAAATTTGTTTATGCTCATGTAAAAATGTCTGGATTTTGTATTGTCTTTTTAAATGATAAAAAAAAATTGGTGTTCTTAAAGTTGACTATTTTGAGTTCTTTACATGTATACAGAAAATGGAAGATAGATGACAAGCACAAGAAATAGGAAGAAGTATCCACAATGCTGTAGCGTGCATAAATATTAAGTCACCTATAACTAAACTTGTTACTTCATTAGTTTAGAATATTTTATTATTATTTTGGCCTTAATCTTTTTACCTAGATTTATATTACCTGGAATAATTACCAATATTTATCTCATTATTTGTCAGACTAATATTAAATATGACTTTAATTTATATCATTAATCATTACAATTTGATTTGATGCTCAAGAAACATTTGTTGAAAAGAGTTGTGCTGCTTCATATTTTGTGTGGAAATTGTGATACATTTTATTTTTCAGGAATCTTAAATAGAAAGTTCAATGAACAGCATTTATTTGCATTTCTGAAATATATTTATTACATCTCTTAAAGCATTTATAGACGTTTTAGAGGATGCACGCGCCGCCTGGCCCTAAGTTAACTTCCGGTCTGTGTTTGTTTATCGGTCTGGCTAACCTTAGTGTCTAGTAATATGGCGCCGACTACAAACGCAGTTAAGGTGATGAGTAGACTGAAGTTTGTGCGCAGGTTGTTGTGCTATGGGATGCAACACAGTGTTTCCCATACATTGATTTTTTTCTGGCAACCCGCCACAATATCAAAACTGACCGTCACAAATATAGTTTCCAAAAGGCTTTGACTTCGTTGAATAACATGAGCACTGCACGTTTCAAAGTCAAAACGAGAATCGGGTGTTTTTATATCATTGTATCTCTGACTGTCTTTATAAAATTGTCGATGTCCTTTATAATTTCATAATGCCTGTAATGCCTGATAAAGCAGCGTTTGTGATCGCAGCGCTGCTTTGTGTACAGCCGTTACCGGGGAAACCTCTATTTCTGGATCACCGCTGTGCAAAGAGAGGCTTGGCAGCCAGGTAAGACATAAGCTGTGTCTCATTTAGAAGGCTGCGCCCTCCGGAGGTCGCATTCGAAGGCTGCATACGTCATGAAGGCTGTCTCATTTCAGAAAATCAAGTAGGACACTCCGAATGCAACCTTCATTCACAGGAATTCGGAGGATGCATGAGGTGTATCCTTCGCTGCTACAGATAACCCACAATTCTTTGCGTCGCCGTAAACAACCGTTGTTAATTTGAAAAATGCCGGCACCGGCAGATGTACACACAAGCCAGATGTGATGTTTACAATCCTACAGAGGATTCGACCTCCGGAGGGCGCAGCCTTCTAAATGAGACACAGCTACAGTTTTAACCTGCTAGCTAATGTAATTTACTTATTTTGCTTGTTATCAGAAATAATCCACTCTAGAGGGACTCTCTTGTTATTGATTCTTTGCGGAAGTCTACTGGAAGTTAAGTTTAGGCCACAAAAGCGCGTGTGCACAGTTACGTTTGTTTATGTTGTTGCTGTTGAAACGGTCTATTAAATAGAAATCCTTTGTAACATTTTAAATGTCTCCACTCTTCACTCACTTTTCATCACTTTAATGTATGAATAAATTGTTAATTTCTCTCTTTTTTAAATCTTACCACAAATGTTTGAGTGGTATCATTGTTTCCACAAAAAGGTTAAGCAGCATTAACTGTTTTTAACATTGACAATAATAAATAGTAAATGTTTCTTGAGCAGCAAATCAGCATAAAATGATTTCTTAAGGATCTGAAACTTCTCTTTGTAAACAACAACAGATTTATAAATGATTTGTAATGACGAATGTTGCGTTCCCAAATGCAAATTAAAGCGACTCAAATGCAGCTAGCATTTACAGTGAATACACAGTACTGTAGACATGTAGCGCATCAGACTATAGTCTACATTTATATAATTACATCACAACCGTTGCGAATTTTATCATAGTACTACTAAGCAATCTCAAATTCTCACCACCATTCATAAAAATTCATGGTGGTGCAAGATGGTGCTGTGAGCTCGTTCAGCTAAATCTGGAAGAATCACATCCCTGTGACATGTACTTAAGTAAAAAGTAGCCATTACAACGACCTGTTTTAGTGTCACACTGGTAACTGGAACTCACATCATATTAATACATTAATTAACAAAATAAATTGCAATTCAAATGTTGTTAGCTAATGAATGCATCTAGGCTGAACAACCACCATGTAGAACACAAGCAGAGAAAAGGCAAAGCATTAAAAAAACAACAAAAAAAAACTATTTGCCATCACCTACGTACGGTGCCCGTAAGGTGACATGTTCGGTTCACTTAAAAACTTTATTGGCATAATTGTCAGGCGTTTATTTTCAAAATATATGGTAGGCTAGCAAATACTAGCATAATTATACAAAACGTTAACTAGGTAAAATAATACACAAATTGAAAGGGGAAATAAGCATATATAACAATAAATATAAAAATATAGCCCTAATAAGTTAATGTAATAATAATATATAAATATTAAATC